CACCTCTCTTCCTCTCCATTGCTCCTTCCCACCAGGTTTTCCAACCTGCAGCTGTTTTCCTTGTGTCTATCTCTGCCCTGTAAAGTGCTTTTACCCATCTATAGTATAGACTCCGTGAACACGAGGAGCACGTTTGCGAGTCCCCAACAGTAGCACCGTTCCTGTACACAGAGGTGATCAGTAAGGATCTGTGGAATGAAGGAGTCCAGCCCTCCCCAGTTTGGATGAGGTGGCCCTGCAACCTGCTCACAGGAAATTGCTTGTATTTTACAGTCTCTCCATGTTTTGCAAGGCTAGTATTTAGAAAGTATTCAAATCTATATTTATTCATTTTGAACTATCCAACCCTGTGTTTTACACAAACTACGTTTACCTTTTGGTTGGTTTGTATTGTTTGTTCCAATGTGCAGGGAACATTAAACATGGAATTTTATTTACACTTATATAATAGGAACATCACTAAAACGACTCCTCGCATCAAGTTTTTTTTTTTTAATTAATTAATTTATTTATTTTTGGCTGTGTTGGGTCTTCGTTGCTGTGTGTGGGCTTTCTTTAGTTGCGGCTAGTGGGGGCTACTCTTCATTGCAGTGTGAGGGCTTCTTATATTTGGTTTTTGTTCATTTACAGTGTCTTCTCTTGCTGCAGAGCATGGGCTATAGGTGCACAGCCTTCAGCAGTTGTGGCCCATGGGCTCAGTAGTTGTGGCTCGCAGGCTCCAGAGTGCAGGCTTGGTAGTTGTGGCGCATGGGCTTAGCTGCTCCGTGGCATATGGGATTTTCCCAGACCAGGAATTGAACCTGTGTCTCCTGCGTTGGCAGGAGGATTCTTAACCACTGCACCACCAGGGAAGCCCTGCATCAAGGTATTTTTAAGAAACTCATTGTTCTTCTCTTTCCTAGAAATCTGGAAAGTTGATGATCACCTGCTGGAGCACTTACAAAATGAGAGCATGGAGAAGAGACTAGAAAAATGGCATGAACAGAACCCACTGGAATATTTTGTTCATCAGAGCAGAACTCATCTTCTGTTCAGGCAAAATCATGATGTGTTTGACTTACATGGAAAAAGTATGAAATCAGATTTAACTTTACTTCCCCAGAGTAGGAGCTATGAAATAAAGATCCCTGCTGAGTTTACTGGCGATGGGAAATCCTATCTCCATGCTGACAATGAACAATTTCATACTGAAATTAAATCTCCCAAAAGCCAAAAACCCATCAGCTCTAAGACCCAATTCAGCAAGCATCAGAAAACCCAAAAAATAGAGAAGCCTCATGTATGTGGTGAATGTGGGAAAGCTTTCATCAAAAAGTCTTGGCTCACTGATCACCAGATAATTCATACAGGAGAGAAGCCCCATCGATGTAACATGTGTGGGAAAGCATTCTCTAGAAAGTTCATGCTCACTGAACATCAGAGAACACATACAGGAGAGAAACCTTATGAATGCACTGAATGTGGCAAAGCCTTCCTCAAGAAATCACGGCTCAATATACATCAGAAAACCCATACCGGAGAGAAACCGTATATATGCAGTGACTGTGGGAAAGGCTTCATCCAGAAGGGAAATCTCATTGTACATCAGCGAATTCACACAGGCGAGAAACCTTACATATGCAATGAATGTGGAAAAGGCTTCATCCAGAAGACTTGCCTCATTGCACATCAGAGATTTCACACAGGAAAGACTCCTTTTGTGTGCAATGAATGTGGAAAATCTTGTTCCCAGAAGTCGGGTCTCATTAAACATCAAAGAATTCACACAGGAGAGAAACCCTTTGAATGCAGTGAATGTGGGAAAGCCTTCACTACAAAGCAAAAGCTCATTGTTCATCAAAGAACTCATACAGGAGAGAGACCCTATATCTGCAATGAGTGTGGGAAAGCTTTTGCCTACATGTCTTGCCTTGTTAAACATAAGATAATACACACAAGAGAGAAACGTGGAGCTTCAGCCAAGGTGGAAAATCATCCCTCAGAGAGTCACAGCTCCTCACAGACTAGTGATGTTATGCAGGAGAAAACCCCTGTAAATTCAGTGACTATGCAGGTGCCTTCAGTGGCCCCTCAGACATCAGTAAACATAAGTGAACTCCTAGCAAATAGGAATGTAGTCATAGTGGGACAACCTGTGGCCAGATGTGCACCCACAGGAGATAACAGAGGTCTTGCACAGGAGAGAACCCTTATGAATGCATTGAATGTAGTTGTGCCTTCAGTCGTCAATTACATCTTATTTTATGTCACAGAAAACCAGTAGGAAAAAAACCTCAGAGACATACTATGTGAAAAAGATATAAATTATTGAGCAAAAAATTTTAGCTTATACGGTGGCTGAAAAAGTATATACTGAGAGAAATTGTATAAATGCTGAGACTGGGAACGCATGATGTACTCATCCAATTAGATACATGCATTGATACAGAGACATAATCTGATGTTAACCCAAACACATACACATCAATTGCTCTGTTGTGTCAGTCGAATGAATGAAGGAAGGCTGAGTTCAACTAAGTGGAGAAAATAGTTGTTTTTAAACACATAATTTGTATGTGGAAGGTTGCTATGAAAAATAAAAAACAACAGGGCTAATATTGGACTGGTGGGATACTGGGCGTGTATATATCAATTCAGTTTCTGGAAGGCCAAGGTGAAGCATTAATTGAAAACTGGGATGTCTATCTTAAACTCTGAGAAATTTACATTGTGCAAATAGATTGAGCCAGTTTGATTGAGTCTCAGATTGAGTCATTTTGTTCATTTACTGAGTATTTGTCGAATACTTCCTTTTTACTGGGTCCTGCTCTAGGAGCTGAGGATACAGTGGTGACCAAACCAGAAAAAGCCCATGGTCTCCTGGAGAGAGCTTTGAGGTAACTGGATTATCTTTAAGTGGTACCTTTACACACCAGGTAATCTAGTAAGAGGATGTAAATAGGTACACAAGGTGAAATAGACATTTTCTTAGTCCCTTCTGGTTACTATAAGAGAATACCATAGCCTGGGTAGCTTATAAAAACAGAAATTTATTTCTCACAGTTCTGGAAGCTACAAAGTCCCAGATTAAGGTGCCAGCAGATTCGGTATCTAATGAGGGTTCCTGGTTCATAGAAGACAGTCATCCCACTGTATCCTCACATAGGGGAAAGGGCAAAGGAGCTGTCTGGGATGTCTTTTATAAAGGCACTAATCCAGTCATGAGGGCTCCACCCTCTTGAACCAGTCACCTCTCAAAGGCCCCACTTCTTAATACCATCATATTTTGGGTTTTGTTTTTAATATTTTAATTTTATTGGAGTATAGTTGATTTACAATGCTGTGTTAGTTTCAGGTGTACAGCAAAGTGATTCAGTTATACATATACATATATTCATTCTTTTTTAGATTCTTTTCTTCTATAAGTTGTCACAGAATATTGAGTAGAGTTCCCTGTGCTATACAATAGGTCCTTGTTGGTTATCTATCTTATTTATAGTAGTGTGTGTATGTTCATCCCAAGCTCCTGATTTATCCCTCCCACCCCCCCACATTTCCCCTTTGAATACCATCATATTTTGGATTAGGCCTCCAAATATGAATTTTGGGAGGCATAAACATTCAGTCCTTAGCAGATATGGAGTATTGGTTCAAGGGGTTATGATAATTTCTTGTTTAAGTTGTATATTATTTTGAGGGACGGCAAGGGCTACTCTTAACGGACTTTAAGCACTTCAGGATACAAGTTATTTTTTTAATGCCCAAGTCTTATCCCCCCAGTAGATTAAAAATCCCTTGATTTTGCTATTTAAATGTTAAAGTTTTAACAACAGTCTGTTCCTCAGTTGCACTAAACCACATTTCAGGTGGTCACAATGTGACTAGTGGGTACCACATTGGACAGCACAGACAATGAGCAAAACTTTGTAGCTGACTATGTGGCCGAAAAGTATATACTGAGAAATCTGTCATCATTTCCATCATCCTAGAAAGTTATACTGGAGAGCCCTGGTTTACATGATTTTATATTTCCCAGCACAGAAAAATAAAAACCAATTATCTATTGATTTGGAAAGTGAATGAATGAGCTAGTGGACTAATCCGAGTGTTCTGTCATTGAAAGGAATGAGCCATTGGAAGGCAGTCCTAAAGAACACAGCTGTCTTCCCCAAATTGTATGTGATTAGAGACCCAATAACAATATAAACTGGGCAAAGCAAAAAAGGAAAAAGGATCCTCAGAATACATAGAATACAAAGGATAGGAATCTTAGTCTCTAAGAATGGAGGAGAAAATAGGAGATGGGAGGTGACATTCTTTTTTTTTTTTTTTTTGCGGTACGCGGGCCTCTCACTGTTGTGGCCTCTCCCGTTGCGGAGCAAAGGCTCCGGACGCGCAGGCTCAGCGGCCATGGCTCACGGGCCCAGCCGCTCCGCGGCATGTGGGATCTTCCCGACCGGGGCACGAACCCGTGTCCCCTGCATCGGCAGGCGGACTCTCAACCACTGCGCCATCAGGGAAGCCCTTTTTCTGTTATTAAAAACAGCTTTCTACAAACTATTTTCCGGTCAGAAGCTTTCCGTGGCGTCCATTTACCGGAGGTTATTATCTTTTCCCTTTCTAGGCGTGCGTTCTCCGCTGCCATGCCAACAACTCATACTTGTCCGTTTGGAAACTTTTTTTTTTTTTTTAAATACAAAGTAGATAATACATGCCGCGGCCGTATTACTTGTCTGCCTAGTCTGCTGAAAGCAACTTAGCCTGCATCATTTTTGCCTCGCGAAGCTTGAGACTGAAAATTTACCTATTTTCTGCAGGAGTCGAAGTACCAGGAAATTAGATAACTTCACTGGCTTCTCACCTTCCCGGCCATCCCTGGCTCCTGGTACTCAAACCCGCCTCTTGGCTTTCTGTACGTCTGGTGTCCCAACATGGCCTCCCCCCGGGGCCGCGGACAGCTGGGCGCGGACATATTGCCTCTCTAGGAAATCCCGGAAATCCGGTCGTCCTCCTTTCCTCAAACACCGCATATCCACTTCGGCTGCCGTAGACGGAGCCGGCCAGGTCTGGACGTCAAAGCAGTTCACAGAAGTACGACGTTTAGGCTCCTTGTAGGTTGGGGAAATCAGGTTAGTGTGTGGTTTTGTCCCTGGATTATTTTTTTTTTCCTTTGTCACAGTGGTGGTTTTGTTTCGCCCAAGGGTGACGCGTGAACTTGGTGCAATCTGGACCCATGAGATTTTTGCCGGATGGCAGAGGGGGAGGGTAGAAGTGCGGAGGTGGATGTATTTAATGCGAACCAGGAGAGTACCTGCTTTGAGGTATTTGAAGGGAACCGGACGCGGGTTTTGTCTATGGTTTATGTTGGGGAGTGTCCTGGGAGTCAGTATGATTAGATTCTGTAGAGATCATTGCTCTTCCAGCTGTCAGGGCTTGCGGTTCTGCAGATCACTCCGCTTGCAGGGCTTACGAGTGGCATTGACGATGATCGCAGTGTCGGGTTCAGGCTGGGGATTTAATTTGGGGCTCAGTGGTGTTGGGGCTTGGCTGGATGGTCATCATATGAGGGTGTCTGGCCCAGGTTTCAGATTAATAAGGAAGTGTGTAGTCAGTGTCTGTGGTACAGAGAGGCTGTGAGGGCTGGGGCTTTGGACGCCGAGGACCCCCGGCTGTAGTTTTTGTGTTGAGGTTCCAACTTCGGCTGCTGGGACGGAAGACGGTACAGCCCAGGGCAGTAGTTCGAAACCATCTGGTTTTCAGCTTTTTTGTGTGTGGGTTTTTTCTTTTTTAATACATTTTATTGAAGTATAGTTGATTTACAATGTTGTGTTAATTTCTACTGTACAGCAAAGTAATTCAGTTATACATATATGTGCATTCCTTTTCGTATTCTTTTCCATTATGATTTATCACAGGATATTGAACATCCCTGTGCTATACAGTAGGGCCTTGTTGTTTATCCTGGGCTTTTAGCTTTTAATCAAGGAGTTGATTACAGACTGAGAGACTAAACCAGCAATTTCAATCTGTTTTGCATCGTCTCTGATGCTTTCGCACAGCAAAGGCAGAATATAGTCGTGACAGAGACATTTTGGCCTGCAAATTTGAAAATCTGTGTCTGTTCTCTTTGCAGAAAATGTTTGCCAACACCTGCACTCACCTTCTAATATTGATATATTGTAACGGCACCGTTACTTGCTTCCCTGACATACATGAACACTTTGTTGTTTGCTAACAGAATCTCCATTTTGTTTAATTATATATCCCTATGGCATGGTGACCTATATCCCAGTTTATTAGTAAGTCCCGGTTGGTCTTAGTCAGTCATGTGGTTCAAGTTCCCATTGCTAGTGATTGAATTAGTACTAAGAAATGAGCTTAGGTATATGGGGCATTTCTAGCCAACCGTGTATGTAAAAATCCGCTTTGGGGTTTCTGGGGGACCATTTTCTCTTTTAAATAAGTAATGCCTTGAATCTCTTTTTTCGTGTTGATAATGATACTGCTGAAAATTTTCTGCCCTATTTTCTAATGTTACCTTATTCTTATTTCAATGCATTGGCTCAACTCTGCAATACAAAATTGAAAAGTGGGGTGGTAATGGACATTTTTGTCTTGTTGCTTACTTATAAATTCACTTGCTATATTGTCTGAAGTCAACATGTTTTCAAGAGGGTAAATCTAGTATTTCAAATTTAATGACATGAAGGTATTCATAGTATTCTTTCAGGCAAAAAAAAAATCTGTATTTTATCTGAGTCATAACTCCCATTAATTCCTTTTTCTTTTTCTTTTCTTTCTTTTTTTTTTTTTTTCCCCATGTGGGATCTTAGTTCCCCGACCAGGGATCAAACCCGTGCCCCCTGCAGTGGAAGTGCAGAGTCTTAACCACTGGACCACCATGGGAGTCCCTCCCATTAATTCCTTCTGTCCTTTATTTGCACTTTCTGTTTTGAATCTAAATATTTATATATTATTGGTCTTTTCAAACTACAGGCTTTTAGTATTTTTGAGCTCTTCCATTTCTTTGTTAAATTAAAAGCTCTACAAGTGAGTCAGTATAAAAGGAATATATACATATAGGGACTTTCCTGGCGGTCCAGTGGTTAAGACTGTGCGCTTCTACTGCAGGACGTGAAGGTTCAATCCCTGGTCATGGAACTAAGATCTCACATGCCACACAGCATGGCCAAAAAAAAAAAAAAGAGGAATATATACATATATACAGACATTACCTACATCGAAAACAGAGCATTGCCAGCACCCCAGTGGTGTTCTGTGAACCTCTTCCCAATTATATTACATCCTCACACCCGAAGGTGAATACCATCTTCTCTATTAGCAAGCACTTTCAGGCTTTTCTTTATGGTGTTATAACATAATCACTCATTCCTCATCATTATGGTTTATTTAGTTTTGCGTATTTTCAACTGTGTTTCAATGTAATTATACATCATGCATTTTTAAAACCATTTTAAAAAACTGAAGTGTAGGGCTTCCCTGGTGGCGCAGTGGTTGAGAGTCCGCCTGCCGATGCAGGGGACACGGGTTCGTGCCCCGGTCCGGGAAGATCCCTCATGCCGCGGAGCGGCTGGGCCCGTGAGCCATGGCCGCTGAGCCTGCGCGTCCAGAGCCTGTGCTCCGCAACGGGAGAGGCAACAACAGTGAGAGGCCCGCGTACCGCAAAAAAAAAAAAAAAAGAGAAAAAGAAAAACTGAAGTGTAGTTGATTTACAGTGTGTGTTAGCCTCAGGTGTACAGCAAAGTGATTCAGTTATACAGATATATAATCTTTTTCAGATTCTTTTCCATTATATGTTATAAGACATTGAGTATAATTCCCTGTGCTATGCAGTAGGTCCTTATTGTTTGTCTCTTTTATACACAGTAGTGTGTACATGTTCATCCCAAACTGTTAATTTATCTACCCACCCCCCATCCCCTCTGGTAACCATAAGTTGGTTTTCTATGTCTGTGAGTCTATTTCTGTTTTGTAAATAAGTTCATTTATATCAGTTTTTTAGATTCCACATATAAGTGATATCATATGATATTTGTCTTTCTCTGACTTCACTTAATATGATCATCTCTAAATCCATCCATGTTGCTGCAGATGGTGTTATTTCCTTCTTTTTTATGGCTGAGTAATATTCCATTGTATGTATACATACCACATCTTCTTTATCCATTCATCTTTTTTTGGTTTTTTTTGCAGTACATGGGCCTCTCACTGTTGTGGCCTCTCCCGTTGCAGAGCACAGGCTCTGGACGTGCAGGCTCAGCAGCCATGGCTCATGGGCCCAGCCGCTCCACGGCATGTGGGATCTTCCCGGACCGGGGCACGAACCCGTGTCCCCTGCATCGGCAGGCAGACTCTCAACCACTGTGCCACCAGGGAAGCCCTCCATCCATCTATTGATGGACACTTGGGTTGCATCCACGTCTTGGCTATTGTAAATAGTGCTGCTATGAACATTGGGGTGCATGTATCTTTTCAAATTAGAGTTTTCTCCACATCATGCATTTTTTATGTCAGGCTCAGTATTTCTGAGAATTATTCACGTTTTTGCACATAGGTGTACTTTTTTTTTTCCCTCTGTAACAAGGGTCAGACAAATATATAAATATCCACACAGTAAATATTTTAGGATTTGTAAGCCACAGTTCTCTCACATATACTTCTTTATTTTTGTTTTACGTCCTTTAAAAACAAAAAAGTCATTCTTAGCTTGAAAGCTGTACAAAGACTGTAGTTTTTCCACAGCATTCCATTGTTTGAATATTTGGTTTTTCCTAGTATTTATTAAACTTGTGTTGTTTGCATTTTGGTTTATTATGAGTAATGGTGCTATGGAAATTACTGAGCATGTCTGCTGGTTCAAATATGCCCATATTTTGGGAGGGATGTATTTCTTAGATGTATTCTCAGTGAAATTGCTTCTGGCTTGGTAAACATGTGGAGATGCAGGGAGAGTGACGCTCCTATAGGGGTCACTCCTTGCCCTTACACACATACCCTGCCCTAGGCACCTCTTCCATCTGGCTGTTCCTGAGTTACATCCTTTTATAATAAGTAAATATAATAACTAAAATGTTTCTCTGAGTTCTGTGAACCGTTCTGGAAAATTTTTGGTTTTTGTTTTGTGTTTCGTTTTTTTTGTTTGTTTTTTAGGTCATGCTGCGCGGCATGTGGGATCTTAGTTCCCCGACCAGGGATCAAATCCATGCCCCCTGCAGTGGAAGCACGGAGTCCTAACCACTGGACCACCAGGGAATTCCCTGCTCTAGCAAATTAATCAACCCAAGGAGGGGGGTCATTGGAACCTGCCATCTGTGGCTGGTTGCTTAGAAGCACACGTGACAACGTGGACTTGTGTTTGCACATGAAGTAGGAGGTAGAAGCCAGTCTCATAGGACTGAGCCTTCAACCGGTGAGATATGATATTATCTCCAGGTACATAGCGACCGAATTGAGATGAACTGTAGGACACCCAGCCAGTGTTGTAGCATTGCTTGGTGGTGTGTTCAAAAAACACACATATTCAAATTGGTGTCAGAATCGTACCTTCTTCTGGATGAGTTTCTTGTTGTTACATTTCCCTCTTCTGATAGCACTGCAAATTACGTACTTTAAGAAAATTATTAATGTTCATTATGACACTAGAGATTACACATCACATGTAATTATTCTTTGTCAAATTCTTACGTTAATTAGTACTTCTGCACTTTCCTCTGACAATACAGTAGTCTTAGAGCACCTCAACTTCATTTACCACCTTCTAATTTATGTACTGTTATTTTGTATTTTAGTTTTTTATGTATTTAAAACCTCCTAAGATATTACCATTATTGCTTACAAGACATTGTTTCTGGTTTGCCCAGTACATTGGTTTTTAAACTGAAGTGTGTGTACTCACAGGGTGTATAAAAACGTTTGAAGAGGTTCCTGAGCGCACACAGTTTAAAGGAAAACAGTGCCCAGCGCCTCTCCTCCCATATGGTCTGTTTTGTATAATTGAGCTGCCTGAGATTCTCCTGCTCCTGAGGGCTGCTGCTGGGATGGATCTTGTTTCCCTCATCTCCTTTGACAGTCACGGCACTTCAACTTCATGGAATAAAGGAATACCCCCACCACAGTCAGAAGCTTAGGCTTTTTGGTCAGAGGAATAAAGTCTTCTGGGGCAACAATCTTCTGGGGACACTCAGCAATGCTGTGGGCATTGGGCTAAGGTGAGTGCCCAGGAGCAGCGTTAGCACCTGAGCCCAGAAGAAATGTACCCTCAGTTTGAATTTTCTCCTCAACCCACAGGTCCTGACTCTCCAGGAGCAAAAGAATCAGTAGAAGGAGGAAGAAGTTACACAACTTGGTATCGGCATTTCTTGGGACACACTTGATTGAAGACAGAACAGAATTTAGAGCAGATCCAGAAGACACAGCGACAGAACCTCCCTGTTGCCAGCTGTTTTCAGAAAACAGAAGAAAATGATCAAGGCCCAGGTGACTTTTGTTCTGTTTTATTCTTTCCTTTGTTCCCTGATGGATTTGTAGAGGCCTGTAAAAAATCACTTCCATTATTCTGTAAAGTATAAATATGTGTATCTTTTGTCTGTCATTCATATATATATATATATATGTCAGACCTCTTTTTCTTTGTAGGAGTTTAGAGAAAAATATATCCCTTCTTAGGGAAGACTTTTCTTTTCTGGGATCTGTTTCCTCTTTATTTTACCCCATCTAGTTTTTGTTTGCAGAGTTTTCTTTTCCCTTTCTTTTCATATATATATATATATATATATATATATATATATATATACAAGAATGTGGCGTTTCTAGCTTAACAAGAAGATTTAACTTCTACACATTATAGAAACTTCTAATTGGATAAATGGATGGGTGGCTGACTACACAATTAGACAATATTTTATTAGACATTTGCTTCTTCAATAGTTTATTAAAATAAAAACCCTGCTAGATATCTCGATGCAGCCTATAAAGTGGAAATGAGCAGAAAAACTTTAACATTTCTTCCATATCATCAAAAGGACATCACTTCATTAAACACCACTGTTATTCCAGGAAACCCTGACATTTGACGATGTGGCCGTGGCCTTCACGTGGGAGGAGTGGCAGTTCCTGGCCCCTCCTCAGAAGGACCTGTACCGGGACGTGATGCTGGAGAACTATAGTAACCTGCTATCTGTAGGTGAGGATGGCTCCCCTGGGTCCCTTAGAGGGTCCCCAATCAGTGGCCTTTCCTTTCTCAGCTTCTGAAAGCTCTGGAGTGTCTGTGATGCTCTGAAGCAATAGATTCTTAGCCCCTTACCCAGATACGTGGGTATATTCTCCCTTCTGAGAGAAAAGCCTTTACCTTGTAGGTTGTAACATTGTTTTGTCCTCAAATGTAACACTCTGCTGTCTTCACAGATCCCAAGCCCAGTTCACTGGGTCTAAATCTGCTGTCATTTCCCACGAATAGGTTTTCAAGCCAGCAAACCAGACATACTCTCCAAGTTGGATCAAGGAGAACCATGGACGATGGAAGATGAAATCCACTGTCGAACCCATTCAGGTGAGTGAGAGACCAGCAAGGTGACAGGCGTGGAAATCACACTGTAATTGATCAGAAAAGAGTCACAGCTGTGAGGGGGTTGGACGCTGGGTAAGCAGTGCCTCCATGCATCTCTCTCCCGATGTCAGACCTCTTTTTCTTTGTAGGAGTTTAGAGAAAAATATATCCCTTCTTAGGGAAGACTCTTATCTTTTCTGGGATCTGTTTCTTCTTTATTTTACCCCCATCTTGATTTTTGTTTACATAGTTTTCTTTTCCCTGGATTCTCATATCTTTTCCTTCTTCTTCGTACACTTCTACCTCGTTTTCTATGAAATTCCACCTTCCAAGGCCTCTCTCCAAAGAGAAAACTTTGAATTCCTCACTGTCTTCTGACTACTGCGCCTTTCTGCTCCACGAGTAATGTTGATTTCCTTTGTCACATCCACCCCATCTTGGATGCCGGGCCCCAAGGTAGACTGGTCTTCACTGTGCCTTATTCCCGCTCTGAGGTTCTCCAAAGGTTTTGTTTTCCATTTTCTCTGATGATCTTTTAACCTTCAAAGTTTTCTTCATCGTAATAAGCTAAGCTCCTTAGGGTCACTGGAGAAGACTCCCAAATTGATCTCTCCCCAGTGTGCTCCACCACAGACTTGGCTTCTATATAACTTATCTTGATGGCAGCTCTCCTGAGTTCCCAGTAACTGCAAGGACCTAAGATCATCTTCCCTCCCAGGAAACCCAGAAGTTTAGGTTTTGCCTTACTCCTGTGCATCCTCCATCCTGGCCATTCAGGCATTACCTCAAATGTCCCCCACCTGCAGAGCTCTTTTCTGTTAAGGGGTCTGCTGTTCATGATGAATTTTTAACTAGGAAAGTTATTTTAACATCCTACATTCTCAGTTCCAGCCTCAACCAGACCATAACTCTTGGCTACTTCGAATTAATTCCTTTGTGTATTTACTGATTTTGAACTTTCTTCTCGTTCACTGTAGACCTTACCATTGTATTCACTTCCTGAAAGCTTTCATTTCTTTCCCCTCATCTTCTGAAAACATTAAGTCCCAGGTAGGGACTTCCCTGGCAGCCCACTGGTTAAGACCCCACGTTTCCACTGCAGGGCGCGTGGGTTCAATCCCTGTTCGGGGAGCTAAGATCCCATGTGCCATGTGGCACAGCCAAAAAAAAAAGTCCTAGGTAACCATGTTACCTGTCACATGACACAAAAATTCTTCTTTTAGTGATCACCATGACATATCATCTTGTTCACACGGAGATTTCCATCTTCTTTCCTAAACCTCCCAATCTGTTCCATACATGTGATTGCTTCCTTGATTCATTCCTCTGTGAATTATTTTTTTGATAGTCTAGTGTAAGCTGGAAGGTAACAGCAGTTGAAAAAACAAATAGACCAAGAGCTTTCATTCTAAGAGGACGAGACATCAATTTAATAAAAATTTAAAATAAATAATATGTCTAGGGGGTGAAAAGTGCCATGATGGAATTAAGTTGCATAATGGATCTCTCTGAGGTGCACCTTGTAAGTTAAATGTGCTTGGAGTTCTCTACTGCATCATTTTCTTTTCTTTTTTTTTTTTTCTTTTTGTCTTCTAGTTTTTTCTTTTTCTGCTGCGTCATATTCTTCATTCCCCTCATGCAGACCAGAACAATGGATCCTTGGGGAGGCCTGTCTTCCTCCAGAATGAGCCCTGGTTTCCTCCACCTCTCTTCCTCTCCATCGTTCCTTCCCGCCAGGTTTTCCAACCTGCAGCTGTTTTCCTTGTGTCTATCTCTGCCCTGTAAAGTGGTTTTACCCACCTACAGTATAGGCTCCTTGAACACAAGGAGTATGTTTGCGAATCTCCAACACTAGCACCATTCCTGATACACAGAGGTGATCAGTAAGAATCTGTGGAATGAATGAGTCCATCCCTCCCCAGTTTGGATGAGGTGGCCCTACAACCTGTGGTCTCCTGCTCACAGGAAATTGCTCGTATCTTACAGTATTTAGAAAGTAACCAAATCTGTATTTATTCATTATGACTGTTTTTTTCCAATGTATAAAGAACATTAAACATGGAGTTTTATTAACATTCATACCATAGGGTCATCACTAAAAAGACACCTCACATCAAAGTATTTTTAAAAATACCTTTATTCCAAATCTGAAAGATGGAGGAATTCATTCTTCTTCTCTTTCCTAGAAGTCTGGAAAGTTGATAATCACCTGCTGGAGCACTTACAAAATGAGAGCATGGAGAAGAGACTAGAACAATGGCATGAACAGAACCCACTGGAATATTCTGTTCATCGGAGCAGAGCTCATTTTCTGTTCAGGCAAAATCATGGTATGTTTGACTTACACGGAAAAAGTATGAAATCAAATTTAACTTTACTTTCCAAGAGCAGGAGCTATGAAATAAAGAGCCCTGCTGAGTTTACTGGAGAAGTCAGATCCTGTCTCCATGCTGACAATGAACAGTTTCATACTGAAATTAAATTCCCCAAAAGCCAAAAACTCATCAGCACTAAGTCCCAATTCATCAAGCATCAGAAGACTCAAAAAATAAAGAAATCTCATGTATGTGGTGAATGTGGGAAAGCTTTCATCAAAAAGTCTTGGCTCACTGATCACCAGAATCTTCATACAGGAGAGAAGCCCCATCGATGTAATCTATGTGGGAAAGCCTTCTTCAGAAAGTTCAAGCTCACTGAACATCAGAGAACGCATACAGGAGAGAAACCTTATGAATGCACTGAATGTGGCAAAGCCTTCCTCAAGAAATCAGGGCTCAGTGTCCATCAGAAAACCCATACCGGGGAGAAACCATTTATATGCAGTGAATGCGGAAAGGGCTTCATCCAGAAGGGAAATCTTATGGTGCATCAACGGATTCACACAGGCGAGAAACCATATATATGCAATGAATGTGGAAAAGGCTTCAGCCAAAAGACGTGCCTCACAGCACACCAGAGATTTCACACAGGAACGACTCCCTTTGTGTGCGGGGAATGTGGAAAAACCCTTTCCCAGAAGACAGGTCTCATTAAACACCAAAGGACTCACACAGGAGAGAAACCCTTTGAATGCAGCGATTGTGGGAAAGGCTTTATCGAGAAGCCGCAGCTCGTTATCCATCAGAGAATCCATACAGGGGAGAAACCCTATAGATGTAGTGAATGTGGGAAATCATTCAGAGGGAAGTCAGTTCTTAATAAACATCAGAAAACTCACTCAGTCAAGGTGGAAAATCCTCCCTCAGAGGGTCACAGGTCCTCACAGAGCAGTGTTGTCCTCCAAGAGAAAAACCTGAATACAGTGACAATGCAAGTACCTTCTGTGGTCCCTCAGACATCAGTCAACATCAGTGGGCTCCTAGCAAACAGGAATGTAGTCATAGTGGGACAGCCTGTGGCCAGATGTGCACCCGCAGGAGAAAGCAGAGGGTTGGCACAGGAGAGAACCCTTATGAATGCAGTGAATGTGGTTGTGCCTTCAGTGGTCAATTATATTTTATTTTATGTCACAGAAAACCAGTAGAGAAAAAATTAAGGCATTCTCTGAGGAAAAGGGTTGAGTGAAAATTTCTAGTTCATATGGTGGCTGAAAAGTATACACTGAGAGAAACTGTATAAATGCTGAGACTGGGAGCATGTGACCTACTCATCCAGTTACGTATATGCCTTGATACAGAGGCATAATCTGATGTTAACCCGAACACACAAACGTCAGTTTCTCTGTTGTGTCAGTTAAATAAATGAAGGAATCCTGTGTTCAACTAAGTGGAGGAAATAAGGAGGTGAATTTTTTAAACATATAATTTGTTTCTGGAAGGTTGCTATGGAGGAAAAATCACAGGAGGGCTAATATTGGATTCGTGGGATATGGGGCGTGTATATATCAATTCAGTTTCCCCAGGCCAAGGTGAACAATGAATCTGAAACTGGGATGTCTTCCTTAAACTTTCAGAAGGTTATATTATGCAGAGGGACTAATGAAACAACAGCCTTAGACTGAGTCAGTTTGGTCTTTCACAGAGTATTTGTCAAATACGTCCTTGGTATATGGTTCTGTTCCAAAAGCTGAGGATATTGTGGTGATCAGAATAGAGAAAGCTCATGGTCCCCTAGAGAGACCATTGAGGTAGTCGGATTATCTTTAAGTGGCATCTCTACACTCAAGCTAATTTAATGAGAGGATGTAAGTATCCATAGTAAGTGAAATGGACCTGGAGTAATTGGCTCAAGGGAATATGACAATTTGTTGTTGAAGGAGCATATCATTTGGGGGTTGGGGAAGGAGTTAATAATGGTATTTAAGCACCATAGAACACAAGTAAGTTTTTTTTTATTTATTTTATTGAAGTATAGTTGATGTACAATGTTAATTTCTGCTGTACAGCAAAGTGACTCAGTTATATGTATGTATATATATATTCTTTTTCATATTTTTTTCATTATGGTTTATCACAGAATAATGAGTATAGTCCCCTGTGCTATACAGTAGGACCTCGTTGTTTCAAGTAAGTTATTTTTTATTTTTATTTATGTATTTATTTGGCCACGTCACACGGCTTGTGGGATCTTAGTTCCCTGAACAGGGATTGAACCAGGGCCCTCAGCAGTGAAAGTGTGGAGTCCTAACCACTGGATCACCAGGGAATTCCCCAAATAAGTTATTTTTTTTATGCCTATTTGTTATCTCCACGAGGAAATTACAAATTCCTTAATTTTAGTGGCTTTCTTTAAATTTTAATGTTTAAAAAAATTGAAAACCAGTAAGATGAAAAATCAGTTCTTCAGTTACACTAGTCACATTTCAAGTGCTCAACAGTCATGTGACTCGTGGCAATAGAATTGAACAGCACAGACAGCAAAGTGGTGAGACAATAGGAAGATGCTCTACCGTCACTTCCATTGTACCAGAAAGTTATATTGGAGGGTGCTGGTTTCCATGATTTTCGGTTTCCCAGCACAGAGGGGGGAAAAATAATTCTTATCAGCTCTAGATTTGGAAAGTGAATGAATAAACTAATGGGCTAATCAAAATGTATTCTGTCACTCAAGGGAAAGACAGTTCTAAAGACCAAAATTGACACCCCAAACTTTGAGGTTAGAGAGACTTAACTGATTATAAAGGGACAAAGCAGAAAAGGAAAATGATTCCTAGAATAAATAGAACAAATGCAAAATGAGAGGCTTAGTCTTTAAGAATGGTGGAGTGTATAGGGAGTGGGAAGAGGTGAGATCTTCTTGGAATGTCTTGGAAATGAATCCTGAGATTTGTCCACAGGTCTAACACCTGTGAAGAGTTGCCATTTAAAGATCCTGGCTCCTCTGTGACCTGCTGAATTGAGACAGGTGTCTTCTATCTCACTTATTCCTTCCGGCTGTCCTCAAAGTGGGGCCTTTGCTTTCTCCTTTATCCAGATTTCTCTCCCATGATCCCATGAGGATATAAGATCCCAATTACAAAACAGTCCTACTCATAAAAGACATGGAAATTTGCCGTGCTCTGGCCCACTCAGAATTCAACCAAAATCCTGGGTCTGGGTAATTTACTCCTCCAGAAACGTTTTAAAGCACCATCACTGTGCAAATCACTGTTTTACACAGTGAGAAAACATCAGTGAGCAAAACAGGCAAAGGAACAGCCTTTATGGTGGACCATATAATCTAGTAAAGGAGAGAGATGGTGAGATTACAAAATGTCAGGAAGTGATAAATCCTATGAGGAGAAATGAAGTCTAATAATAGATAGTAATTTATAGTAAGCTGTAGGTAGTAATGAGGGAGATTTCCCCCTCCCCAATGAAAGGCTTTTCTGGATATAATTTGAGCCAAAACCGAAGTACTGAGGGGACTCACCCTTCAGAATATTTGTAACCAGAGAACATTCCAGGACTGTTTGTAATAATTGTCTATGACAAACTTCCTGCCTCAGATTCTCTGAGAAACTTAATGCAATTCCTGAGTCACACCCCACACCTCCTAAACCAGAACCTCTGGGGCTGGAGTCCCGGACTCCGCATTTTTAACAAGGCCTGATGCACACCTAATTTTGAACATATTTGTCCTAAATCCTGGGCTATGGTCCCCATCACCACCCTCACATTATAATGGGATGGATTCAGGACAGAGAGTCTCCAGCAAAGAATCAGTCACGAGGGCTCCAGCAACCTGACCCTCAGCTCCCCTCCACTTCCTGTCCTGTGACTCTCCACTTCCAGCCAAGGCATGGTCAGGCGGGCTCACTCCTGGAACTGATCAGTTGGGGCCTGGGACGGGCTGGCTGGGCTGCCCTGAGCTCTGAGGGCCACGTGCTGAGCTTACCTTTCAGAACTTGGCATCCCCAGGTAAAGGAGGCCCAGTGCATGCCTAAGCCTGCTTCCACACCCAGGATCCTTATGATTTCAATAAAGATCATCCTTCACCTCAAACAGTGGTTAGGAGTGGGCAATGAAGTCATACTGCCTGATTTTTTAAAAATAAATTCATTTATTTATTTTTGACTGCATTGGGTCTTTGTTGCTGTGCCCGGGCTTCCTCTAGTTGCGGTGATTGGGGGCTACTCTTTGTTGCAGTGTGCGAGCTTCTCACTGCGGTGGCTTCTCTTGTTGCAGGGCACAGGCTTCAGGCATGCGGGCTCAGTAGTTGTGGCTCCAGGCTCTAGAGCACAGGCTCAGTAGTTGTGGTGCACGGGCTTCATTGCTCCGTGGCATGTGGGATCTTCCCGGCCCAGGACTTGAACCTGTGTTCCCTGCATTGGCAGGCGGATTCTTAACCACTGCACCACCAGGGAAGTCCCATACTGCCTGATTTGAATCCTACCGTGCCAGCCGTGAGCTGTGTTCCTCTGAGCAAGTTACTCAACTCACCTCAGTTTATCTTTAATATCTGCCTGGGTAGGTTTATTGTGAGAAGTAAATGTAGTTAAAATAGTGCCTGCCAAATGCAATGAATAACAGTATTATCATTAGTCCTAGTGAGGGAGGACTTTCCTTTCTTTCCTCTTATCTTCTGGGTCCCTCCTTCATTCTTCATCATCTTCAACAATCACTTCTTCAGTGAAGCTTTCCCTCACTTGGCCAGGTTCCCCAATTTCTGGCCCTCCATGGAACTATGTTCCTCTCCTTATAAGCCCTTTATAGACTTGCAGTTTTATTTTTCCTGGATTTAGATGTGTATTCCCCATCAAGATTGGATTGAAATTGTTTGAATAGGTCACAGAGTCATGTGGTTCAAAACTTAAAACTATATAAAAAGGTGCATTTATGAGTCTCACTTTTACCCTGTTCTCAGTTTGTTTTCCCTTGACCTTCTAGCTCCCACAGGTAAGTTTTATTGTGTCTCCCTCCAGTGTGTGTGTGTGTGTTTTTGGCAGTACAAGCAAGTAGATACTACTTTTTGTCCCTTTTCTTTTCAAAAAGCAGCACATATATACATTCTCTTGCACCTTTGCTGTAATTTTCACTGAGCAGCATAGAACCTTGACGAAGAGAATACTGTATCTTGCAAGCCAAATTCAGTTATTCATTTAATAGTCCGTTATTGAAAACTTCTGTTCAACTTTTTGTTCTGAGCACTGTGGATACAAAAATATTACAGAGTTTCTGTCTGAGGAACTCATAGTACATTTTGGAGGGCAGTCAAATTAGCATATTATGATGGTCTAGAAAGATAAATGATCTTCAGTCATCCCTTGTATAGACATGTTTTCTCTATTCGATGCCTTTTTATACTTCCTATCGTTAGCACCACGATACAGCTGCAATTTTATATTTAATAATAACTGTATTATTGTTTTTGAGACTGACCTGGAAGGTGTCCAAGAATGCTATCCGAAGAAGTGACATCTAAGATGACTCATGAAAGAACAGCCATAGTAACTAATATTCTCTCATTGCTTCCTGTGTGCCAAAGACTTCAATGGAGGGAAAGTATTTGCAAATTCCTGGTAGCATATGAGACCACAGGGCATTGGGAAGTGGAAGGCAGGGTGTAATGGAAGATGATAATGGAGAATCCGTTTGATGTTTGCTTGTATACAGTCTTAAAAGAATTCTCTTGAGATCTTGCTTTAGTCTGTAATCAGTATACTAATTCAGAGCTTCATGGAGGGTATGGTAATAAACATGGTGTGGTACGGAAAAAAAGGAGGTGGCTGGAGAGACACCTTCTTAGAAGGGACCAGTGCGGTGGCAAATTCAGTAGTAATTCAGATAAATGGACTAAAGCAATGAGGGCGAGTACAGGGAGTGATTCAGAAGTTATTTCCATGACAGCATAACAGGAATTGGTGGCCAGTGTGACAACGACATATAAGTTTTGTTTTGGCTTCGTCCTCTGACCTTTTCACAGCAACCTCCAGTAACCTACAATCCAGGTAACATCTCTATTCTTTTTTTTTTTTTTTTAACATCTCTATTCTTAATTTATTGTGTAATAGTGACTGCTAGATGAGAAACAGAATAAGGGAAAATTCAGTCTGGAAGGGAGAAGGACTTCCATTTTAGAGTTGTGTAGTTTGAGGAACTGTGAGACTGGAGCAGGCAGTATGTTTTGATGCTGTGTTAATAAAATCTTTTGAGTTTAGTGGGTACTTAGTGAAGAGTCCATCTCCAAGCCCAAACCCCAAATATAATCGAAATTGTAAGTTTTACTTAATCCATTCAAAAATTTGAAATGCATATATTTATTAATGTTTGCCATGTGAGGATCATATTATAAATACTGTTCATCCTTTTGAAGTCACTTAAAAAATACTGGTAATTCTATAATTGGCTTTTTAATGGCTATAAACCGTTCTGTTGAAGGAATGTGTTTAATTTACCAAACTATTCACCTGCTGATTGTACATTCAAGTTATTCCTAGTTTTTAAAAAATTTACCAAAATTTCCGTGGTTAATATAAAGTTTTTAACAAAGATTCTTAGCATTGGAATTTCTACATCAACGAGAATGAAAAATTTAAATTATATAGATAATTCTAATAAATTGCCCTCTAGAAAGAATATATAGATAATATCCTCTACTACTCCTTTGCCTGCATAAAATAGTGCCTAATATTTCTTAAGTGTGTTTATTTTATTTGGGAATGATGCCAAACAATATAACAGCACAGCTCACCATTTAATTACTCTGAAATGCCCTTCGTTTTTTAAGGAAACATTTGCATACATGTGAAGCCTCACCCCTCACCCTTCCCTACCAGAGGCAGCCACATTCCCAGGCCCCTATGGGCATCGGTGATCACAGAGCCCCGCTCTCAGCATCGGCCCCGCCCCTTCAACAGGTCTCAGACCAGCCGTACTCATTCCCATCCCCGCTTTAACTGTTTCCCAAATTTCACCAGCGCTCGAAGTTTCCGTGTTTTGTCCATGACCTGACCGCCGCCTTTACAACGTGTCTCAACTCCTACAAACTTCGTTGACAGTCCCAAGTTTCCTCCTAACACTAGCTCCTCGGGTCTCTGCCGAACGGACTGCACTTCCTGTAAGATGGCCGCCCCCTTGGTGCTCCTCCGTCGTGGCTCACGGGCGCCGCCATCTCTCTCGTTTTGCCCAAAAGACAAAATAGAATCCAGCTCGCGCCGCCACGGCCTTGGATAGGACCCAGCCTCTCAAAAATTATTCAGCCTAGTGATTCTGACCGACAACGAGGAGGGAAAGGGAAGGAGGTGTCCAAAAGTGATTTCAATTCTTCCCTCTCTGAGCCGTAGCCTCCATCATGACCGTTTCCTCCCCGATCGCTGAGATGGGCGTGGCCACGTTACGTCATAGAGCTGGTTGTGGGGCCCGAACTCCAACACGCCGGAAGGCTCTGAGGTCGGGCAGGGCCGGAGGCGTCCCTAGCGACAGCCAGCGAGGGGATTTGGGCGCGACAGCGGAGGAGTGGGGATCATTTTGGAAGTGAATTCAGTCTTTGGCAGCTGGCGGGAACCTTGAGAATCTCAGCAGCAGGTGGGTCGGGGTCTGCACGTGGGTCCGGAGTGAGGGGCCTGTGAGGCCAGTGAAAGGCCTTCTGGGGGTGTCTTTAGGTTCAGTCACTGGGGAGGCTTCGCTTCAGTAATAGGCCCTTTGGCGGTCAGTGTTATTAAATGTATGAAGAGAGAAACGACCGAGGCTCTGACTGAGGGTTTTTGTCGATGTGGGTATTTTGAAACCCAGCCCTCCTAAAATTTGAGTTCCCCCGCTGACTTTATATTTAACCTCTCTATCCCAAACTTTATTCTTTTTTTGTCTCACCCTTGTTCCCCTCAGGATTGAGGAGTATCAAAGAAAGGGGGAGATTGAAACTGAGCAGGACCCTGAAGTACCTCTTGGGTACAAAAGCCCTTCTGTGTCACCCCATTTCTAGCTTGTAGAAAAAGGCTTTGGTCTCTTGGGGTATCCCTGAGTTCCAAAGATCAGACTAATTAGGGAAGTGAGGGAATATAGAAACAGGAAAAAGCAGACAAGAAACAATAGTTCACAGAGTCCTAGTTCCTCCTCAAAGGATGTGCATAACGATCTGATGCATACCTTTAAGTTGTTCTGCAGAAACTAAGACACCTTCCAGGGTGGAGGATGGTGACTACTTGCTGAGCATAAGCATGTAGACCTCAGACTGGTTGGAACCAGAAAGTTGATTAAGGTTCCTGAAACACTCTGTTACCTCACCAACAACCAATCGGAAGAAAGTCATCCCTCACCTGCATCCTTCACCACAGATGTTGCCTTTAAAAACCCTCCCCTGAGGGCTTCCCTGGTGACGCAGTGGTTGAGAGTCCGCCTGCCGATGGAGGGGACACGAGTTCGTGCCCTGGTCTAGGAAGATCCCACATGCCGCGGTGTGGCTGGGCCCGTGAGCCATGGCTGCTGAGCCTGCGCTCCACAGCGGGAGAGGCCGCAACAGTGAGAGGCCCGCGTACCGCAAAAAAAAAAAACCCTTCCCTGAAAGCCATCAGGGAGTTGAGTCTCCTTGCTGGGCCCTGTAGTAAACGCTGGACTTTCCTTCACACCAACGCGGTGTCAGTAAATTGGCTTTGCAGCTCAGCGGGTGAGCCAACCCAAGTTTGGTTTGGTAGCAACTTCTGCTCGTGAAGCTCAGTGATTAAGACCTGGAGTGGTAGGTGTAGATCAGTGAATTCGATGTCTCATGCAGGTCTGCGATTCACTGTGGGGCTCAGACGTGGAGAAGCCTGGGATGGGGGACGGGTGCTAATGAATGGGGGTTTCTGGTTCAGATTTCGGATTTAACTTGGAGTCATTTTTTGTTGTTGTTGTTTTGTGGGGGAGGCTAGTGTATGTGGAGGGGCATGAGGCTGGCGCTTTGGAGACCCAGGGTCCCTGGAGAGTAGGTAGGTTGAGGTTCAGATGGCGATTCCGGGGCACAGACTTGATGATAGATTCATTCAGCTGATCCAAATCCAGTTCGCTCCTTCAAGTCCATGCCTTCATCAAGGCGCTAATTAAAAACTCTCTTGTCGGGCTTCCCTGGTGGCGCGGTGGTTGAGAGTACGCCTGCCGATGCAGGGGACGCAGGTTCGTGTCCTGGTCCGGGAAGATCCCACATGCTGCAGAGCGGCTGGGCCCGTGAGCCATGGCCGCTGAACCTGTGCGTCTAGAGCCTGTGCTCCGCAACGGGAGAGGCCACAACAGTGAGAGGCCTGCGTACCGCAAAAAAAAAAAAAAAAAACAACTCTTTTGTCTTGCCACATAAACACTCTTGTCATTGTCTTCCCAACCAAAAATGTAGTTAGATATGATCTAGTGATGTGTTATAAAAGATACGTTTTATTATTCTTGCCTCCAACTTTACTCCACAGTTTTCTTGGATATTTCCTTTCAGGTTCATGCTACACAAGTGAAAACATCTCTGTTACCTGAAACGCTGATCTCCAGTGCAAACCATTGTGTATGTTTAATATTTTTTTGTTACCTTTGCATTTGGAATGACCTGTATAACAGATATAATTTGGTTTTATCACTTCATTTCTAATTATAAACACTTCCATAGTATAAAAGGATTACAGATTTTCTTAATGGCTGCAGTAGTGTCACATCAGGTGGGTGAACCAGTGACGAGGTTACTAGAGTCCCATTAAATGTACGTGTACATTAATTTGGACAGGCTTGACATGTATCTATACTTTACTGCAACATGTTATGATTCTATGCTTATCCAGGTTCTCTCACCCACCCACAGGATTTGTTGCCATTTCCTACTGAATAATTCAGGGTGTTCATTTATATTGCCTTTTTAGTTTGAAGGTTTTTCTTGGGTTTTTTTCCTGGATGTGCAGGGTTTTGTGTAAGGTCGGATCTTAACAAACGGCACCGCGAAACAGAGGAAAGCTTCAAGTGAGCTTTATTAGGGAGTGCTCCCGGGCGTGGTTCACTGGTCCGAGAGAAAGGGGCCAGAGAAGTCGCACCCGGGCGAGGGTTGGGCAAGATTTTATAGGGGAAGAAGGGAAAGGGGTGTGGTGAATCTGGGAGGGCGCAGGGTATTCCTTCTTTGGTGGTCTTTTCGGGTTTCCTGGGGGACCGTTAGTCCCGCCCCTCGAAAGGCGGGAAGGCTGGGCTGGGTTCAAAGTCCCCAGGTCAGTTCCTGGAACTGGGTGGTCCGGAATGTCTCCAGGGCAGTTTCTGGAACTGGGTGGTCCGGAGAATTTCGGTCTGATGCAACCTGTGAATCTGATTGTGTTCCCCTGCCTCGGGCCATTTGGCCTTACATTTTGTTTCCATTTTGATTAATGTGTTGAATTTCTCGTTACTGTTGATTTCTAGTTGTGTTGCATTGTGGTCAAGGAATAAGCCTCTTTGATATTGACTTGTGAAACTTACGAAAATTTCTTTCTATGGCCTACTTTGCTCTGTAAAGCTTTATTTTTTTTATATTTACACATAGGTGTATTTCTGGAAAGGCAGGTGGCCCTTCTAGGGCAACACAAGTGATTCCATAAAGTGAATGGGTGCAATGCCAAGAAATCATCAGCAGGGACATGAGGGCTCATGGACAAGGAGTCATGAAATTGGGATGTGGCCAAGATGTTGCATTCATGTTCTCCTCCCCCATGAAGTTTTATAGCTATAGTTTTATAGTCCTAGATAGTCCTATAGTTTTATACCCTTTCTCTTGTGCAGATCTCTAGTCCTGGTGCCTAAACTGATTCTAGGCTGGAGACCGATGGGGACTGCATGTACTCAGAGGTCAAAGAACAGTTGCAGTAGGGGCAGGGCGGTGTCGGTGGGTTTGGGGGTTTAGAATAGCTACCGGGAAATTATCTTAGAAAAATTTGTGGCCAGAAGGATTGGAAACAAAAATTCACAGTAATCCCACTGAATCAATGACCTTATAATGTGAGCCTTTCTGACTCCTTGTCTCTCTGATTTGCTGCTTTGGAGTGAGTATTGGAACTTGCTCCTTTTCCATTTCTCTGTTTGTGGAAGAAGGTTGCTGTCTGTGTGTATGCATTGAGTGTTCTAAGAGCTGTTTCAGAAGTCCAGTTTATGCATTGTGGTTATGTGCTACCTTCTGGTGTGATATGAAACTGTCTGAAAAGTAGTAAACTTTGCAGGCAGTTCTACAGAGAACTAAACAAAGAGGTTTTCTGGTTAAGAAGGTACAATGGTTAAGGTGATGAGCTTTGGAGAGAAAAGGCCTGGGCTTGAATTCTAGCCCTGCCTCTTAGAAAGTATGTGACTCTGGACAAGATACTTATCTCTAGGTTTTAAGCCGTGACTTCCTTCGTTCTAGTGATTTGATACTTCTAGATTGGTGGTGAGGATTAAATAAGAAAGTGCTTAGGATTTGCTTAACACATTACTCTTCATAATGTTTGCTCTGCCTTGAGGTCTAGATGTTGTGGGGTTTTATTTTTATTTTAAAAATTTTTTTATTTTATTTTATTTTTTTTGTGGTACGTGGGCCTCTCACTGTTGTGGCGTCTCCCGTTGCAGAGCACAGGCTCCAGACGCACAGGCTCAGGGGCCATGGCTCACGGGCCTAGCCACTCCGCGGCATGTGGGATCTTCCCGGACCGGGACACGAACCCGTGTCCCCTGCATCGGCAGGTGGGCTCTCAATCACTGCGCCACCAGGGAAGCCCTATGTTGTGGTTTTTTAAACAAAAGAAAACTCTTAAGTATTGGGATTTGATGTTAGTGGATGCCTATATTATATATATATATATATATATATATATATATAAAAATTTATTTATTTATTTTTGGCTGTGATGGGTCTTTGTTGCTGCGCGCGCTTTCTCTAGTTGCGGTGAGTGAGGGCTACTCTTCGTTGCGGTGCGCGAGCTTCTCATTGTGGTGGCTCTTCTTGTTGCGAAGCACAGGCTCTAGTCATGTGGGCTCAGTAGTTGTAGCTCATGGGCTGTAGAGCACAGGCTCAGTAGTTGTGGCGCATGGGCTTCGTTGCTCCGCGGCATGTGGGATCTTTCCAGACCAGGGCTTGAACCCATGTCCCCTGTGTTGGCAGGCGGATTCTTAACCACTGCGCCACCAGGGAAACCCCCATATTAGTTTTCTGTTAGTTCTGTGATAAAGTAACCTAAATTAGTGGCTTAAACAACACAAGTCTATTACCTTACAGTTCTATAGGTTAGAAGTTCAACATGGATCTTACGGGGCTAAAATCAAGGTCTCAGCAGGAGTGTGTTATTTTCTAGAGGCTCTAGGGGGAGAATCTGTTTGTGTTTTCCAGCTTCTAGAGCTGCCCACACTCCTTGGCTCCTGTTTCCCTTTCCCCCCATCTCCAAAGCCAACAATGGTGTGTAGAGTTCTTGTCACATCACATCTCTCTCTGGTCTCTTCTGCTTTCTTCCATGTATAAGGATCCTTGTGATTACATTGGGCCTACCTGAATAATCCAGGAAATCTATTTTTAGGTCATCTGATTAGCAACTGTAATTTCATTAGCAGCCTCAATTCCCCTTTGCCTTGTGATGTAACATATTCACAGCTTCCAGGGATTAGAACGTAGATATCTTTGTGAGGGCCATGATTCTGCCTACTGCAGCACCTTTACTGCAGGATGCCACCGCAATAAATAAATAAATTTATTAAAAAAAAACTAATATAGGCGTCCTCTAATATCAAATCCCAACCGACAAGGTGTATGGCTGAGGGGAATGCACAAATTAAAGCGAATTTTCTTTTGAGTCCTTAGAATCAAGTGAAGTAAGGAGAAGGAAGTTCCAGAACCAGGAAAGCATCACTTCTGGGGATGCCATTAATTTGAGATGTGAGAACTATGACCAGAATTTGAGTGACAATCTAGAAAAGTAAAAAAAGAAGAATCCCAGTTCCAGTCATTTTCTAAGAACAGAAGAAAATGACCAAGGTCCAGGTGAGTTTTACATATTTATATATTCCCTCCTTTTCTGTTGTATTTGTAGAGGCTTATAAAAATTGACTTGATTAATTGGAAAATGACACATTGATAAGAGCCTGAATCTGAAGACAAATAAATATCAACCATAATGTTGATGTCATGGTAAACTAGGAATGGTGGGAATGCAGGTCAGAGATTCTGCTCAGAATTTTGAAGTCAGAATATTAATAAAAAACTGTAAGACCTGAGGGGTTATTTATGTTGAGCCACCAGATTATCTCCAATAATTTTGGTAGCCAGTGCCAGCAAGGGAAACACAAAACATTACATGATTCGTGTTTTTGTACAGAGAAAGTAGATCATTTCCTCAGAAAAGTAAGTATTTCCTGGTACTGAAGTTTTAATAAATTTCTTGATGACTTTTCCTGCAGGGCGCAGTGGCCTCAATGGCAGCCTTCTGGTATATGCAAGAAGAGGTTCCCATTTCTCTGTTTCATGTGTGTGTGTGTTTTTACACTTTCTTATGGGGGCATAACATACATATAGTAAAGTGAATTTTTACACAGTTGTACACCTGTGGTTGTTTCTTATAGGGTTCCTTCAATACCCTTCTGGTATTCTGGCTTTCTTCAGATATAAAAATCTAGATTTATCTAGACAAATGGATGGTTTAAATGGTCTCTCAAGCCATTTTTGCTGAATTGGATTCTGGGTACAGACCTACCAGCAGAGTTTAAAATCACATTCTCTGCTAAAGACTTGGGATGTAGGGATCCATGATGTTGTCTTTGTCACTGCATCCCAGCCTTAGAAATGTAGTATTCTTCCCGAATTATTCATTGTCAGTTTTTATCTACCTCCTTGTATTAGTTTCCTGTGGGTGCCATAATACATTACCACAAAGTAGGAGGCTAGAACGACAGAAGTGTATGTCCTCACAGTTCTGGAGCCCAGAAGTCTGAAATCAGGTTGTCAGTGAGGCTGTGCTCCCTCCAGACCTCCTGTCCCTTGCCTCGTCCAGCTTTTGGAGGCTGTCTGCATTCTGTGGCTTGTGGCCTTATCGTTCCAATCTCTGTCTCTGTCTTCACATTACCTCCCCCTCTTCTGTTTGTCTGTCTCCTTCTGTCTGTCTCTTATAAAAACACTTGTCATTGGGTTTAGGGCCCACCCAGACTATCTGGGACTATCTTCTCATTTTAAGATCCTTAATTACTATATCTGCAAAGACCCTTTATCCAGACAAGGTAAAATTTACAGGTTGGGGATTAGGAAGTGGACATATCTTTTAGGAGGCCACCATCCAACCTGCTACCTTCCACTTTTATCATCTTTTGTTGTTATCAAATGAGTCATATACAAATCATTTGTTTCTGAAATATACAGAAACAATATGGAAATAAATAGAGCAAAAAAAGAAAGTGGCCCTGTCAAACCCTTCTCTACTCATCACTTAGGAGAGAAATAATTCTGTTTTTATTAACACTTATATGCACGTAGATATACATACATTATGTACACTTAGGTGCATATACACATATTTTTTTGTGAAAATATTTTTGCATTACTGAGATCATAATAAACACATTACTTGCTTTATTCCTATAGCAACCTGTCCTGGAGAACGTTCCATTCAAGTATTTATGTATCTATTTCATTGCATTTAGGTTTGCATGATATTTCCTAGCATGTATATGCCTTAATTTATGTACTCTGTTTATATAAAGGTACTTTTTTTTTTTTGGCCCGCCGTGCAGTATGTGGGATCTTCATTCCCTGCAGTGGAAGCATGGAGTCTTAACCACTGGATTGCCAGGGAAGTCCCTAAAAGTACATTTTAGCCATAAAATTTCTTCACAATACACACTCTGAATATGTGTGAAATTTTTTTTAGGTTAGATTTCTAAAAGGGAAATCTATGAGTCAAATGGTACCTGGACTTAAATTTTTCATGGTTGCTACAAAATTGCCCTTTTTTTTTTTTTTTTTTTTAAATTGCCCTTTTTTAAAGTCTTCAGCACTTCCTCTCAGAGTTTATGAAAGTCTCTATTTTTCCCACATTCTTGCTATTATTTAATATTGTATCCGTTTTTAAATCTTACAAATCTGAAATATAAAAGCTATATAATTTTTTGAAGGTTGTAGAGCCTAGTGTTTAGTTTTTTTTTAATTAATTAATTTTATTTTGTTATTTTATTTAATTTATTTATTGTTTCTGGCTGTGTTGGGTCTTCATTGCTGCACGTGGGCTTTTCTCTGGTTGCGGCGAGCGGGGGCTACTCTTCGTTGTGGTTCGTGTGCTTCTCATTGCGGTGGCTTCTCATTGCGGAGCACGGGCTCTAGGCGCATGGGCTTCACTAGTTGTGGCACGTGGGCTCAGTAGTTGTGACTTGTGGGCTCTAGAGCACAGGCTCAGTAGTTGTGGTGCATGGGCTTAACTGCTTCATGGCAATGTGGGATCTTCCTGGACCAGGGCTTGAACCTGTGTCCCCTGCACTGGCGGGCAGATTCTTAATGACTGCGCCACCACGTGAAGCCCTAGTGTTTAGTTTAAGAGCACAAATTCTGTGGTCAGATTCATTCATTCATATCTTGCCTTGGTCTGTAATTACCTGCTTGATCTTATTCTGTTTATTTAACCTCTCTGCAGTCCTTTCTTCATCTGAAAAATGGGAATTGTAATAGAATTTACATAAAAGGATTATTCTGAAGATTAAATAGGTTAATATATATCAGAGTTTTTCAACCTCAGCACTATTGACTTTTTTGGCAGAACAACAAATTGTTTGTTGAGGGGATACCACAGGATTATAGAATATTTAGCAGTTTCCCTGGTCAGTACCCACTGGATGTCAGTAGCACCCTCCCACCCCCAAGTTGTGATAACCTAAAATGTCATATGTCTGCTGTTGTAAAATAATTGTTGGCCAGTTGAGAACCACTGATCTATGTATATATGTATATAGATATGTAGGACATATCTTAGAACATTGCCTGTTATTTAATAAGTGCTATCAGGGCTTCCCTGGTGGCGCAGTGGTTGAGAGTCCGCTTGCGCTTACAGGGGACATGGGTTCGTGCCCTGGTCCGGGAAGATCCCACATGCCACAGAGCGGCTGGGCCCGTGAGCCATGGCCGCTGAGCCTGTGTGTCCGGAGCCTGTGCTCCACAACGGGAGAGGCCACAACAGTGAGAGGCCCGCGGACCGCAAAAAAAAAAAAAAAAAAAAAAAAGGTGCTATCAGAATTAGTTTTACTATTATTTTTACTTGCATTATTATCAGTGACTGTGAACATATTTTAATGTATTTATTAACTGTTTGTATTCTGTGAATTGCCTAATCAAATCCTTTGTGCTGATTTTGTTTTCTCTGATCTCTAAAAAAAAAAAATAGGTTTCAGGGATATTAATCTTTATCTGTTTTTTGCAAGACATTTTCTAGTTGGTATTGTTAGTATGCTAGTTCGTGTGAGTAGTAAACTACTCATATCTACATATTGATCTATCACAGTCTATCTTCAAGTAATATTATACCACTTCATTCATGGTATAAGAACCTTAAAAGAGTGTGCTTCCATTTCTTCTCTACCAGCCTTTGTGCTATTGTTGTCCTATATTTTACTTCTTTGTATTTTAGAAATCCCACAATACATTATTATCATTGCTTTAAACAATCAGTTATCTTCTAAAGGTATATAAAAAAATAAGATTTTATATTACTCATAGGTTTTTCATTTCTGCAGCCCTTCGTTCATTTGGGTAGATCAAGATTTCTATCTGAAGGACATCCTTTAACATTTTTGCTAGTACATGTATGCCGCTGCTGACTTGCTTTAGCTTTTGCATACCTGAAGAAGGTTTCATTTTGCCTTCTTTTTTTGCGGTACGCGGGCCTTTCACTGCTGTGGCCTCTCCTGTTGCGGAGCACAGGCTCCGGACGCACAGGCTCAGTGGCCATGGCTCATGGGCCCAGCCGCTCCGCGGTATGCGGGATCCTCCCAGACCAGGGCACGAACCCATGTCCCCTGCATTGGCAGGCAGACTCTCAACCACTGTGCCACGAGGGGAGCCCCTCTCTGGCTGTTTTAAAATGTTTCTCTTTAGGTCTTTTTTCTGTTTCATGATCAATAGTTTCTATTCCTGTATCTTCAAGTTCACTAATCTTTTCTTCTGCAGTGTCTAGTCTGCTATTGATCACATCCAACGAGTATATTGTTCATCTCAGACATTTCTAGAGTTGGAATTGGGTCAATTTGATATCTTCCATATTACTCCATATCACGTTCATGCTTTCCTCCACCTTTTTAAACATATGTATGTATAATATGTATTTTACTATCCTTATCTACTAATTTTATTATGTATGTCATTTCTGGTTTTGTTTCTGTTGATGATCTTTTCTCTTTGTATGAGTCATATTTTCTGTCTTTGCATATCTGGTAATTTTGATTGAGTACCAGGCATTATAAATTTTTCATTGTTGAGTGATAGACTTTTATTCCTTTAAATATTTTTCAGTTTTATTCTGGGATACAGTATAATTTACTATACCTATGTTTTTCAATGAGAGGGAGGCTTTGGGTACTATTAACATTTTGAGCTTGACAATTCTTCCTGTGTAGGACTGTCATATGCTTTACAGGATATATAGCCCCCTTGGTCCCTGACCATTAAATACAGTAGGCACCTGGTCAGTGTGACAGTCTGAAACATTCTCACAAATTTTCATATGCCTCTTTGGTTTTTTAAAAATTAATTAATTAATTAATTAATTTTGGCTGCATTGGGTCTTTGTTGCTGCATGAGGGCTTTCTCTAGTTGCAGCAAGTGGGAACTACTCTTTGTTGTGGTGCACGGGCTTCTTATTGCGGTGGCTTCTCTTGTTGTGGAACATGGGCTCTAGGTGTGCGGGGTTCAGTAGTTGTGGCTTGTGGGCTTAGTTGCTCTGCAGCATATGAGACCTTCCCCAACCAGGGCTCATACCTGTGTCCCCTGCATTGGCAGGCAGATTCTTAACCAGGGAAGTCCCGTATCTGTCTTTGATATGACATCTAAAGTTGGAACAAGACAAGGATGTCCAGTGACACCACACTCTTTGGAAATATTAGTCAAGAAAAGAGATAAAAGAGATATAAATTTGGAGAAGAGGATTTAAAATTTTCCATATAGGTAATTTGGCTGCATACTTGGAAAAATCTGAGAATCACTACAAGCTTATTAGAAACAATAGGAGAAATGCATATATAATATTAAGATATACTAATAAGTATAACATTCTTTTTTTTCATAGAAATAAGTTTTACTTTTAATTTTCTGAAGTAAAAAAACTGTTAACAAGACTTAGTTGATAACCTAGTTACCTCATACAGCTTTTTTTTTTCCTTTAAAATACTCAAATGCTCTTGCATTACATTCTTTAGAAAACAGACCAGAAGATACTTGCATTTAACAAGTTCTGTGAAGAACATTCAACCACATCCATGTTTTTCATGATACTGGAAATACTGTTATATGATATGTCAATTTAACCTATCTCTTAGAAGAAAAACTAAGACAATTGAAATAACTAGTTTTCTAATCTTTAGTTCTGTTTCCACAAATAAAACCTATCACATTTCACAATGAGAAAGCAAAAAATAATATACAAACCAAAAGAGCTAACCTGAAATCATTTATCCCCTTTATCAAGATAATAGGTTAAGTGCAGGAGATCAACAAAACAAGAATACTGTTTTTTTTTAACCATTTAACTAACTCTGGCTCAAAGTTAATAAATAACAGCAATGTACAACCCATAAATGTATATAAATTCCTATCATATTTTCCCTATTTTGTAAGGAAAGAAAATAGTTTTAATGTGTAAGAGGAAGAATAGTAAAACATATTACTAAAAGGCAATTTTGCCATTGTCACTGCTCAAGAAGTACCACAGTAACCTTCTAGCAAACAGCTGCTGCCCATTCCCCAAAATGTGAGATTAGGTGATTCTAAGTAAGCATGAGGAAAAAAATTACAACATTTTTTGTCCCCATTCATACTGCTCTCCCAGCCCCAGAAATTCAGATTAAATGGATTTTGGAGAGCATTTCTACCTAGTCTAACAACTTAATGTAAACAAAAAGCAACATTCATTTTTAAGTAAAAATCATAACACTGTTTTTGAAACTGAAAATGGAATTCTCATCATATAAGAGAATAAGCTAAACAGCAAATTCTTGTGTAGAGACAGTTATTTACCATAATCAATTCAAGTGTAACTTGAAGTTCTCAAATTATTTATTTTCAACTCAAGTAAAGACAATTAGGCCACTGCAGTTAGTTCCTCGTCTGTGTCCGTTGATTCAGCTTTCAGGTCCAATTCTCCTAAATCTCTGTCTACAGCTGTCACAGTTTTCTTCTTACACTTCTTAGGCACTGCATCATTAGCACAGATTTTTCTCATTGTAATGTTTGGCAATTTCTTCAGATCAAAATCCCATTCCCTGCATTTAAAATGCCTGGAATCTCGGGCTTCCCTAGTGGCACAGTGGTTGAGAGTCCGCCTGCCGATGCAGGGGACACGGGTTCGTGCCCCGGTCCGGGAGGATCCCACATGCCGCGGAGCCTGCGCGTCCGGAGCCTGTGCTCCGCAACGGAAGAGGCCACAATAGTGAGAGGCCCTCGTACCGCAAATAAATAAATAAATAATAAAATAAAATAAAATGTCTGGAATCTCAAGGCCGCAGCCCCCGTACTGCTGCCGCTTTCGCTCCGTGGTCTGCTTGATGACCGCCTCGGGAGAAGTGCTGCCTGCCCTGCCTGACCTTGGTGCTGCTGTGTAACTCAATCTGCTCCAGCTCACTGCTGAACTGATTTAAATAGCTTTCAGTTAATTCACAAGCGTCTCTGAATGTTCTACGTTTTTGGGATCAAGATAATTTTGAAACCGCTGCAGTTTTTCACAAATAAGGTTGAGATGCAACGCCTTTTCATTCTTCAGTTTTTCCTTTTTTTCTAGTTTGTGGGCCTCTCTCGTAATTTGAGCTGCCTTTCTACTATATGGATGGATGACTTTTTTTTTCTTGTCCTACACTTTTTCCCTTTGGTGCTTTAGGCGTGGCGACATCCTTGCGGCGTGGGACCTCCAGACCTCCGACTCCACGCTGTGGGACCTCAGGGTCTGCGGCAGCAGCAGCTCACGAGGCAACTCCCAGTATAACATTCTTGATTGAAAGTTATTTCACTTGGCACTTTGAAAATACTATTTCATTCCTTTTCAGGCTTCCATCACTGCTGTTGAGAACTTAGAGGCTATAAATCATATTTGTTCTTTTGTTAGGTATATGTCATTTCCCTTTGGATATTTTTGAATTTTCCCTTTGAGTTTTGGTGTTCTGCAGTTTTACTTCCATGTGTCTAGGAGTGGATCTCTTTTTCCTGATCCTGCTTGAAATTGTGGGGTTCTCTCATCCTGAGGTTGTGTGTCTTTTACCAGCTCTAAAATATTCTCTGCCCTTACATCTTTGGTTATTACCTTCCCTCATATTTTCTGTTCTTCCCTCAGACTCAGAATAGGTGTAAATTCAACATTCTCACGCTACCCTTCATATCTCTCAACCTCGCTTTTGTATTTTCCATCATTGTCTTTTGCACTTCAGATCTGTTGTCTAGTTCACCATTCTCTCTATGTCATATCAAATTGGTAGTCAATCTATAAATTGAAATTCCTAATTTCAATTACTGTATTTCTTGTTTTGAGAATTCATCTTTGTTTCTTCAAGTTAGCTCACTCATCTTTAAGACTGTGTTATGCCTTTGCATATATTAAACATTGTTTATATTCTGTGTCTTACAATAGCATCATCAGGTTTTTCATGTTTAATTCTAGTGCTTATTGTTTCTGTTTAACTTGTGCACAGTGAAGGCTTCTTGAGAGCAAGAATACATGTGTTTGTTTTGATATCACCTGCATGTAGTTCAGTGCATGCACATATGCCCACAGATGGCAAATCTATCAAGGTTAACAAGAGGTTTTAATGACCGCATTTCAGAAAACCTTCTGAATTATTGAGGGGGTGGGTGGCTGAATCACAGCAGCACGATATCTGTATAAGACTTTCCATTCTTCCACACTATATAATGTAAATCACCTATATAGATACAACCTACACAGTAGAAATGATTAGAGTAGACTTCTAGACTTCTCTTCCAAACCATCAAATGATCACCCCAGATTAAAGAAGGATTCATTACTACAGGAATCATTATTATTTGAAGATGTAGCTGTGGAGTTCACCCGGGAGGAGTGGAGGCTACTAGACCCTGCTCAGAAGGACCTGTACCAGAATGTGATGCTAGAAAACTATAGCAACCTGCTGTCCGTGGGTAAGAACTGCTTCCCTGTGCCACTCAGGGTACCCAATCAGCAGTCCTTCCTTTCTCAGTTGTGCAGTGATTTGGGGGCAGGTATCTGAAGTGTGAATAATGTAAGAGAGATTGTCGAACTTTTTCTGCAAAGGGCCAGATAGTAAATACTGCAGGCTGTTCGGGCTACTTACTGTCTCTGTAATTATATTCTGGTTTCTCTTAAATAACACTTTTATTTTATTTGTTTTTTCAGCACACACATATTTTTATTTATCAATTACATAAGTATTCTACTAAATTTATTATATGCACTATAAAATATACTTAAAAATAGAAACGTCAAAAGGATGAAACATCAGTGAGATAAATATTTTTAAATGGTTTTAATTTTTCAAATTTAATGGTACAAAACACTTTTGCTATCATGTGTTAGAAGTTTGCCCTCACTTTTCGAATACTCTGTTTTGTAAGAGCACCTTATTCTGAATTAATAATGCTTTTAAAATGTAAAAAAAATGCCTTAGTTACAGCCACAGACCATAGTTTGCTGGCCCCTACATAAGACTTGAATTTTATAAGTGACAGATTCTCAGTCTCCTCTCAGGCCTCAGATAGAGGGAGGAGTATGTTTTCCCTACTCCAAGGGGAAAACTCTTTTCCAAGGTACAGTCACACAATCTATAAAAGGTATCATTTAACAATGTTTAGATCTCACGCCCAAAGTTATTTTCCTAAATATTCTGTTATTTTTCGTGAATAGGGTATCAAAGTCCCAAACCAATTCAAATCTTCAGGTTGAAGCAAAGAGACAAACCATGGTTAGTAAAGGAAAATATCCACGGTCAGAACTTTCCAGGTGAGTGAATGAGAAACATCCAGGTAGAAAAGAAGTAAATTCCTAGATTTGTGGAGGCCTCACACCTTTGAAATAGTGCTGAGGTGCCTCATCTTCTGGTTTCTAACCTTTTGACAGCATCTAAACAGAGCCTCTGAGTGTTACTCTCCTATGTTAACATTCATTGCTTAAGCATTTAGAGGAAAATACTCCTGTGTTCTCACCCCTGGATTTGATACTGATTTATTTCATCTAGGATCTTGATTTGTTTTGCTTAGATATTTTTCTTAGGATTCTCAAATGTTTCCCTTCTTCATTGACTGCCATAGTATCACTGCTTGTTCCTTCCTCTTCCCTTGCTTTGAAAATTCAGTCTTCCACGCCTCTGTGCAAAGAGAGAACTTCAGATTCACCATCGTCTTCTGACTACTGAACCTTGGGTAATAGTGATTTCCTTCCTAATATTCAGCCCCACCCAGGGTGCTGTGTTCCCATGGTAACCCGGTCTTTTAATGTGCATCTGTCTGTTTCCTTATTCTGACTGGGCAAATATGAGCTAAAGCAAATGTAGCAAAACATTAACTATAGAATCAAAAGAGGTGGATATATGGCTGTTCACTGTGTAATTCTTTCAATTTGTTTGTTTGAAAATTTTTATAGTAAAATGGTAAGGGAAGAGCTATAAGTATTGTAATTTTCAGAGTGAATTATGCCTCCCACATACACTGAAATAAAGGAATTCACTCAAATAAAAAAACAAAAACAGAAAATTCACAATGTTAGACCCCACCTGAAATCAAACCATAAACCTCATGCATACTTTGCTGATTTCTCTGTATATTTGCTGGATGAGGTATTTATTTTGATTCATCTTAGTTACTCTCAGTTTAATTTCCCGAGTCTAAACAATTCTAGTTATAACCCTACTACCAAATATGGGATATTTAAATCCCTCTGTGATCAAGGGACTGCAAGATACAATGTGATGCTTACATAGAATTTTCTTTCCATTCCCTAAATTCAAAGTCAGCTTCATTTAAACCAGTCTCTACAATGCCCGCTACACGTATGATTGTTTCATTGATTCATTCCCTCAACAAGTATTTTTAATGCCTAATACGTGCTGCTCTGTAGTGTGCTTTATATTATGTGGCTACAGCAGAGAATAAAAGGGACTAAGTTATTACTCTCACAGAACTTGCATTCTAAGTGGGGGAGGTACACAAGAAATATACAGATTTTTCTGGTGGTAATTAGAACCATGGAGAACAATGTAAGGGGTAGTGAATGTCAAGCAATAGGAGGGCATGATGTTTTATACACAAGGGACAGGGAACGCCTCTCTGCTCTGCTAGGGTGGCTGAGTGGAGTGAGGGATGATCCATGGGTAGGCCTGGGAAAAGTGTACCAGCAGTGGTGGTCCTGAGGCAGAGGTGTACCTGGCGTGTTTGAGGACTGTCCAGGAAGCCTGTGTGGGGAGAGCAGAGCGATCAAGAGTGGAAGTGATACTCATGAGGTGAGAAAGGGGCCCACACGATGCAGGGCACTGCAGGCCATTTTAAGGACTTAGGATTTTTTTCCAGAATGACAGTTATTGAATGGTTTGGGGCAGAAGAGTGACATGATCTGGCTTATGTTTTTGGGTTTTTGTTTGTTTGTTTGTTTTGGCCACGCCGCACAGCTTGCAGGTTCAGTCCCCCGAACCAGCCCTGGCAGTGGAAGTGCCGAGTCCTAACCACTGGACTGCCTGGTAGTTCCCTGTCTGGGAATTTCTGTACAGGCTCAGCTCACTTTATTGCGCTTTGCTTTATTGTACTTCGCAGATAGTGTGTTTTTTGCAACTGAAGGTTTGTGGGGAATTCCTTGGTGGTCCAGAGGTTAGGACTTTGCACTTCCACCACAGGGGGCACGGGTTCGATCCCTGGTCGGGGAAGTAAGGTCCCGCAACCAAACAGAACAAAACAAAACAAAACAAATTGAAGGTTTGTGGCAGCCCCGTGTCAAGCAAGTCTATCAGCACCATTTTTCCCAACAACGTTTGCTCACTTTGTGTCTGCGTCACATTTTCATAATTCTCTCTATATTTCAAACTTTTATTATTATATTTGTTATGGTGATTTGTAATCAGTGATCTTGGATGTTACTTCTATGACTTGCTGAAGGCTCAGACGATGGTTAGCATTTTTTAGTGAGAAAGTATTTTTAAATTAAGTGTACACTATGTACACTGTTTTAGACACAGTGCTATTGCACACTTAATAGACTACAGTATTGTGTAAACATAACTTTTTTTTTTTTTTTTTTGCGGTACGCGGGCCTCTCACTGTTGTGGCCTCTCCCGTTGCAGAGCACAGGCTCCAGACGTGCAGTCTCAGTGCCCATGGCTCACGGGCCTAGCCGCTCCGCGGCATGTGGGATCTTCCCAGACCGGGACACGAACCCGTGTCCCCTGCATTGGTAGGCGGACTCTCAACCACTGCGCCACCAGGGAAGCCCTAAATATAACTTTTATATGCACTGGGAAACAAAAAAATTCACGTAACTAGCTTTATTGCACTATTTGCTTTATCGTGGTGGTCTGGAACTGAACCTGGAATATCTCCAAGGTATGCCTGTACAGATAATCCCAAATTTGTCCTCTAGCCTAAGTCTTCTCCAAATTCCTCTCTCCAGTTGAGTTCTTCATGTGTGCACCAAGATATCCATCTCAAAATGTTTATGTCAAAATACACACCTGATTTTGCCACATTCAAAACCTGTCTCCCTGATGTTCCTCAACAACTTAGCTGGTACGTCTAGTCATTTAAGCCAAACACCTAGGGAAAACCCTTGATTCCTCCCTTTTACTTACATTGAATTCAACACTGAATGTTGTTTTTTCCTTCTCCTAGATGTACCTTGATTTCATCCGCTTCTCCACACGTACACTATTGTTGCTCCACACCAAGCCACCATTATCTCTTCCCTGGATTACTTCATTAACTTCCTCTCTCCTACACTCCTTCCTCTCCCACCACTATCCATGTAGCAGTTGGCAACCTCTTGGAAATATAAATCAGAACCCCCCACCTTCTCAAAACTTCCAGTGGCTTGCCACTAGTCTTAGCGTCAAATTCAGATTCTTCCTACCAGATCTACGTGATATGCCTTCTGTCTACCTTTTGAACTTCAACACTTCCTTCTCCCTATATAGCTATTCCACTCAGGGCCTACTGGCTACCTTTCTATTTCTTGACCTGGCCAAAACCTTTCCTGTCTCAGGGCTTTTGCATTGCTGTTGTACTTGAATGAAAACTTGCAATTCTTTACATGAGGTTGCTTATTCTTTATTCCTGGTTTCTTGGCTCAACTTTTATTTTCTCACAGGTGTTTAACTATTTAAAGTTGACCAACTCCCACTGTTCTTTTTCATATGCCAGGAACCAGTTTTCAGTCTGAAGTTGTCTTATTTCTTTGCTTCCATTTTGTTCTCTTCTGCCTAGTGGGATGCGTTTGTATTCAAGTGCTAGGACAGTGAATGATACATAGTAGACATTCAATAAGCATTGGGGGAATGAATGGCTATATCCTCCATCATGCTAGATCAGATGTCTCTCCAACATACTTTATCTTATGTTAATGAGACACATTTCTACTTCATCCTCTTTGCCCATTTTGTGAGGATGTATTTGGAGAGCAGCAAAAACTTTACTAATTGAGAATTGTCTACCATTGATTCTGAATCAGCTGGGTTTTTTTTTTAAGATGTTATGGCTTTATTTCATTGTGTTTCCTCTCATATTCAAGAAGTAAATTTACACTTGATGGTGTCCTTCATATGACAGAATTGTCACAAAGAGCCAGCCCAAACCGTGGCATTTTAGAAGCAGTTTTATTACCTGATTTAGAAGCAGTTTTACTACCATAACCTGATTATGAAAGAATTAATTTTCTTTCTAGAAGTTGGAGAAATTGGTGATCATATGCAGTGGTCTTTGGAAATCCAAAACAAGCGTAAAAATATGGAAAGAGGCCGTGAACACAGTTCATCGGGAAATGTGTTTCATCTGCGCAGAAATCTTGTTACTTTAAGGCAAAGCCATGATAAGTTTGATGTACTGAACTCTAATTTAGATTTAGTTAACCAGAATAAAAGCTGTGTAGCGAAGAATCCTGACAAGTTTAATAAATATGAGAAATCGTTTCTTCGTACTAAGCATGAAAAATGTTACACTGGAGTTAAATGCAATAAATATGGAAACACCATCTGCACCAATTCGAAACTCAGTATACATCAAACTGAAAAACGAAAGAAACATGAGTGTATTGAATGTGGTAAAACCTTCATCAAAAAGTCTCAACTCACTGTACATCAGAGAACTCATACAGGAGAGAAACCATATAAATGCCTTAAATGTGGTAAAGCCTTCTGTAGGAAAGCAGAGCTCAATATACATATGCAAGTGGAAAGAGGAATAAAACCCCATGCATGTAGTGAGTGTGGGAAAACCTTCTCCAGGAAATCTCAGCTCCTTGTACATCAGAAAACTCATACGGGAGAGAAACCCTATACATGCAGTGAATGTGGGAGAGGCTTCATCCAGAAGGGTAATTTTCTTATACATCAGCGAATTCATACTGGAGAGAAGCCCTATGGATGCAAGGAATGTGGTAAAGCCTTCAGTCATAAGCCATGTCTCGTTGCACATCAGGTATTTCACACTGGAAATCCTCCCTATGTATGCAGTGAATGTGGAAGAGCTTACTTTCAAAAGTCGAGTCTCATTAGACATCAAAGAGGTCATACAGAAGAGAAACGCTATAAATGCAACGTATGTGGGAAAGGCTATTCCACGAAGTCAATACTCAGTAGACATCAGAGAGTTCATACAGGAGAGAAACCCCATGGATGCAGCAATTGTGGGAAAGCCTTCTGCCACAAGTCCTCCCTCACTAAACATAAGAAAACTCATATGAAAGAGAAATATGTGGATTCAGTCAAGATGGAGAATGATTTTCTTGGGAACCACAGGTCATTATGCACCACAGAACCCGTACAGGAGAAGAACTCTGTTGAAACAATGACAGTGCAAGGGCCTTCTGTGGCCATGCAGACATCATTAAATATCAGTGGGTTCCTAGCCCAAGGGAATGTAGTCCTTGTGGGACAGCCTGTTGCCAGATGTGTACCCTCAGGTAATAACAGAGAATTTGTACAGGAGAGAAACCTCATGAATGCAGTAAATGTGGTAGTGCCTTCAGTTACCAATTATGTCTTATTTTATGTCACAGGAAACGTGTAGGGAAGATTTGGTACGTTCAGTGTGGAAAAGCTTGTAGATCAAAGTTTTAGCTTTTTATATAGTTGAAAACTTTCACTGAGAGAATGCTAATGAATGTAGTGATAATGGGAAGATACACCTCATTAAGTATCCATGGCTCTAAGTAGGTTGAATTGTAACGAGCTTGACTTCAAGATCATCAATACACATCAGAAAGAAATTTTAGGAACGCAGTTGTATCAAGTCCCTAAGACCACCCTCACATTTGATTATTCTCTAAAAGCAGTCACTAAACTCATTAAAGCTGCTATACTTACTGTTACAGTTTATGACAGTGAAGAGTTACAAATTAAAATTAGCAAATGTAAAAGGTGCATGAGGCAGACTTTAGGAGAAACCAGGTGCATCCAGTTGTACTCCCAGTGAAGTTGTATGGACAGTGTTTAATTCTTCCAGCAATGACCTGACAACACATATGGCATAGTGCCAACCAGAGAAACTCACCTGAGCCTTAGTGCCAGGGGGTGGGAGGGGCAGTAAAGGGGTTAGTTATGGAGGCATGGAGAAACCACATGACTGACCTTAACTTCTCAAACTCCAGCCTCCTAAGGATCAAACTGATACAGAATGGCCCAGAGCCCCAGGCAAACAAAAGCAGGTGTTCACCAAAAATCATATTGCTAATGTAAACTATGTGGCATGGCCGAAACCCCAGGTGTACAAAGACACTCTTGGCAGGCAGGATATTCCAAGGGCTTAGAGGTTCCTTCTCAGGTGCCAGTCGAGGGTCATTCCTTTCATTGGAACGTGCAGGGTCTGAACACCCCAAACTTGCCAAGTCAGCCCCTAATTTGCACAGCAGTGAATAGGACAAGGTTTTCAGTAACATGGTTCCTCATCATGTGTCAGAAATAAGGAATGGCTATGGATACACCAAATGTGTTGAACCTTTAGCAGAATGGCAGAGATCTCACAAAGGAGATAAGCTGGTGATTGCAACGGAAATTTGGAAACTTGTTGACGTAAGTCTACCCTCGTTTTGCATCAGATTAACACCCTTAATGTGTTTTTTTTTTTTTTTGGCTGTACGTGGGCCTCTCACTGTTGTGGCCTCTCCCATTGTGGAGCACAGGCTCCAGACGCGCAGGCTCAGCGGCCATGACTCACGGGCCCAGCCACTCCGCGGCATGTGGGATCTTCCCGGACCGGGGCACGAACCCGTGTCCCCTGCATCGGCAGGCGGACTCTCAACCACTGCGCCACCAGGGAAGCCCCCTTAATGTGTATTTTGATAGAGAATGTCTTGAACTCTTTCTCATTGCTAGGGAATGACTCCATAACTCATTTGAAGATGGTTTACAGTCCATGTCACATTGTACCTATTATATCTAAATCTTTATCATCTTTGCCGTATTCTCTTAGAAGCAAGTTCCTAGGCCAGCCCACACTCAAGGGGAGAGTTGAGAATCTTTGAGGGCCTTCTTAGAGCCAGCCTACCAGAATAATGATTTTCAGGGAAAAAGACATTCTTTGCCGAGAGTTGCCATGGCTTCCTGCTTAAACAGTGCTTGAACAGAAGCTGGCGCTCGCCACCCCACCCCCTCAACCTCCCGTGCAGAGCCAGCCTTCTGCCTCCTCCTCACAGCACCCTTGGACCACTCCCAAGGCGAGTGGGAGTAGTGCGACTGCTGTGACTACCACGTCCCCCTCACAGGTGCCGCAGCACTACCACCAGGACTTGGAGGCCACAAATAACTTCCAGATCCACCGGGAGCCTCTGACGTTTACCTGCCCGTGTCCCACTACTTTGATGGCCACGATGTGGCTTTGGAGAACTTTGCCAGTTGTTCTCTTCACCAGTCTCGTGAGGGGAGGGGACATGCTGAGAAGCTGATGAAGATGCAGAACCTGCTAGGTGGCCGAATCTTTGGTGTATCCTGAAACCAGAACAGGATGACTCGGAGAGTGGGCTCAAGGCAAGGCATGTGTGTTCCACTCAGAAGAGGGCACGAATCAGTCACTACTGGAACTGCACAAATTGCCGACTGCGAAAAATGACCCCTGCTCGTGTGACAACCTGAATGAGCCGGTGAAATACGTCAGAGAATTGGGTGACCACATAACCCACTTGTGCGTGATGAGGGCCCCCGAATCTGGCACGGCAGAGTGTCTCTGACAGGCTCACCCTGATGATGAGAGCTAAGCATCAGGCTGGCTTCCCAGTGGCCCTGGGGGTGACTTCCCTGGTTACCATGACAATGCATCCATTTTGGGTTTTCCTTTACCTTTTCTGTAAGTTGTACTAAAGCATCCACTTAAGTTTTTTTTATTTGTACTATTCCTTCAAATTTGGTACCCAGATTTAAAAAAAAATGACAGACTCGTAAAGACCCCAGGTTATACTAGCATTCCAGTGCCATTGAGAATACCCAGTCTCATGGTAAGAGGGCCCTTGGTTGGTAAGAAAATCTCACAAACGTCACCCTGTTTTTTATGTAGAAGTGATTTAGCTAGAAGTCACTGCTCCTCAGTCATTCACTTGAAGCTTTGTGCTGGCTTGAACAGGACAAATGACTGACTGGTGCAAGGAATTAGGAGCCTGGAGGATGGACCTCCCCACCCCCGGTCCCCTGCTCCCCTGCCATGGAACTCTTCCTCCAGTCTCTGAGGAGAGAACATGGCTGGCTGATGCTAGAATGCCTGAGGGCGTGGAATGAAGATGATTCTAAGACTGGACGAAAACTTAAAACAGCAACCAACTGTTTCCTCTGCAGCAAGAAGAGAAAGCAAACAGGAAAAAGCAAGTCCCATCTCCATTTTCCTTCTGCCTACCCGTTCTCTCTAGTGGCCCATGTTGGCAGAACTTAACGTGAAGCTGGCAGAAGAGAATCTGGTTTGCACTATCACAAAGCAGACAGTGGAAGAGTAGGTTGAGAGGTGAGAGACAATAGCTAAATAATCAGGCGAGCAACCTACTTCAATTGAGATTAGCTGTGGTGCGTGCCCCTGGCCCCTGCAATTTACAAATCTTACAGTCCACGTATAGACAAGTGCGGATTGAAAATATATTTGTGAATAAAATGATACTTACTTAAACAGTCCTTGAATATTTTCTCTGTATAAGACAACCTGTTAGTAAAGTTACTAGTCATTATGTGTGTGTGTTGGGGTGGGGGGGGGTCGTTAGTAACTGATGGGATTTATGACCCAAAACACCAGTATGGTTTATGCCCCTAGAATCTATAACCTGTTTTGTATGTTTTGTACGGTTTTTTTATATTCTTATTTTAGGGACAAATACACAGTCTGAAATCATGTAAAGAGGGGAGAGGGAAAACCCTTTAAGGTGCTGGAATTACTGATTATTGATATGGAAAAAGATGAAATTAGATCCCTGCCTCACATTATATATCAATATCCATTCTCAATAGATCAAAGACCTAAATTCGAAGGGTAATATTTAAAGAACATAATCTGGGGGAGATAGTTGGATTCTGATCATTTCAAAAGCCCTCTTTCCACTGGCTTTCAACCATGACATCCTCATACTCCCAATAACTGACTCTTGGAATTGCACCCGTCGTGGTCCACGAGGACCTTCCCGTCACTGGCCTCTACAGATTATTCTTGACTGACCCCCCCGCCCCACACACACACAAAGGCCTACCAATCCTAGGCTACCCGGGGACCTTCGTGTACTGACCTTCCATTTCATCGATTCCTCAAACCTTCCCATCCACTGACTGACAGCCAGCTCCACCAGGTGGTGAACGAAAGGAATTTCAGTCTTCAGGTCGGCAGCTGGTTTCCTCTTGGTTCCACAGTCTTCATTGGAGAGCTGGAGGTGAGTGTGGATAAAGGACACACTAATTTCAGCAGGTGGGACTGAGGCCGAGTAGTAGTCATGTGAAGGTGTGGAGGGGAGGGGTCAGCACTAGAGAGCATCTGGCCGGATGTTGAAGCAGTGGGAGCAGTTGGTGAAAGTGCTTCCTCGCCTAGGGCTCCCCTCTGTCATTGGCTGAGGAAACTAAATCAGCTGGGCAACTGCTCGCTGGGCAGGAGGCTCCCAGCGGATGAGCCATTTTTCTTTCTTTGACTCATTGTGTGACTTACATGGGTCCCTTACCCCTCTGCAGCTTCGCTTCATAAGCCGTGTAAACAAAGGGAGCAGGCTTGTCATAATACAAGAGAGTTACAGGATGGAACGTAGAAAAAAGTTTATCCCCCAACTTCCACTCCACCTCTTTTGGCTTCTGATGCTGCTGGTATTTCCCAGTCTTGGAGGCAGAAAAGCCCTGCTTCTGCCAGAGGCCCTGCCCATGTAGATGAGAAGGCCTGCCCTCAACACGGACCCTCCCACGGGGCGTTCCTCCTACCTCATCTTTCTTGGCCCAGCTCCCTTTGACACTCCTACCTAGACCATGCCACCTCTTTTCCCCTGTTCCCCATCCTCTGTACTACTGTAACCGAGCAGGGTCTTCTGTGCTCACGGCACAGAAAGCGGGTGTTTGCAGCAAAGTAATGGTTTATTTGCAGGGTGCCACGCGGGGGAGTGGGAGACAAGTTTTAAAGGGGAGTAAAAAAGAGGCTGGGATTAATCGTCGTCTTCTGACATTTCTTAAGCATGGTTTCAGGAGTCAGAATATCTCTGGTTTATGGTTTTTCTGGCCAGGTGGTCCATGGCTCGGGGTCTTGAAGTTCGTCTTGTCCTGGAGAAACAACCTGAGTTTGTCCGTTAATGATGATGTCTACAACAGCAGTTTTATTACATTAAGGATGTTACTGACAACAATCTGACTCTGGCTGGTGAGTGTTCAGCTGGCTCAGGATGGAGGTCAGAGTGGGCAAGAAAGGGAATAAAGTTTTGGACAGAGGGATGAATCATAAACTCACTAAGGGAACTCAGTTTTAGGGGGACTTGGTTTCCATCCTCACTCCTGTTTTAACTTTCCCCAAATCTCTGAGGGAACAGGGCAGTGACTGCTCTATTTCCCACCTCAATTTGGGGAGTGGAAATGTTGCATATTGAGCTGGGAACATTCCCAAGTTCCAGGTCGTGGACCCGAATCTTGCATGACTAAAAGCTTAGTCCCTTGGTCCACCGTTCTGGTGCAGCAGACCCAATTAGATGTAGGAGATGGAGTGAAACCCAAACTTTAATAAACCTTGGAAAATATATCTTATTCCTTGAGGAATTCAGGAGAATAAGCCTGAAAACCAGTCTGGACCTGGCACTTCTGGGGAGATGTGTAGCCAGGTAGCCAGTTGCTTAATTTTATCGAAGCAGGTTTTAACTTCTGATGTGGTATTAACATATAACAGGAGCTATTGGCCACTACATATAAAATATGATCTAAAGCAACTGTATTGTCTTGTACGATTCTAGCTAAAGAATCTAGTGCTGCACACCTGTCAGAATGGTTATCATGAAAAAGTCTACAAATAACAAATATCGGAGAGGATGTGGAGAAATGGGAACCCTTGTACACTGTTGGTGGGAATGTAAATTGGTGTAGCCATTATGGGAAATAGTATGGAGGTTCCTCAAAATCTGAAAACAGAACTACCATATGATCCTGGGTATATATACAGACAAAAACAAAAACACTCATTTGAAATGATACCTGCACCCCAATGTTCATAGCAACACTATTTACAATAGCTAAGACATGGATGCAACCCAAGTGCCATCCACAGACAAATGGATAAAGAAGATGTGGTATATATATACAATGGAATATTACTCAGCCATAAAAAGAATGAAGTTCTGCCATTTGCAGCAATGTGGATGGAGCTAGAGAATATTTATGCTTAGTGAATTAAGTCAGAGAAAGACACAATATGATATCACTTATATGTGGAATCTAAAAAATAACACAAATGAATGTACATGCAAAACAGAAACAGACTCACAGATATAGAAAACAAACTAGTGGTTACCAAAGGGGAGAGGGAAGAGGGGAGGGGCAAATTAGGGGTATTAATAGATACAAACTACTATGTATAAAATAGATAAGCTCAAAGGATATATTGTATAGCACAGGGAATTATAGCCATGATTTTGTAATAACTGTAAGTGGAGTATAATCTAAAAATACTGAATCATGATGCCGTACACCTGAAACTAATACAATATTGTAAATCAACTATAA